AGTGAGACACTGATGTATGTGCAATCCAAGAATTTTAAATGTCCCCACAGGATATCAAATACTATCCAGACCGTTTGTAAATACTTTTCCCAGTGCTCTGCAGAAAATAAGCCAGTTCTTTTCAAATCTCCTTAAATGGCATTTTTGTCTTATCTAAAAATCTATGTTCCTGTTTAATAAAATCATCTGGGTAACTTACTGTTTCATCAGTACTGCAAGCTTATGCCTTCATTAATAAATTCTGTTTGAGCGTTAAGATTACCCCCAGTAGAGACAGCTGGGAAACTGCAATATAAACTCAAGCAGCACATTTAATGACCAACGAACTTCTGGAAACTTAGTCCAAAATGATACATCATTGTGTCAGACGCTCTTAAGGAATATGCAGCTTGGTCTCCCTCTTTAGAAACATGAAACCCCCTGAAACCGCCACCACAGATTGTGAACCTTTTAAATTACTGCCAAGCCACCTGCTTTTCTCCAGGAAACTTCATAAAACTCCCCAAATTAGTAATGTCATTAAGTAAAGCTTACAGAACTGTTGTTATTCTGAAGGAGTATTAGCTGTTTAGTTTAAGGAAATCAATGGGGAATTTTACCATGGAAAGAAATGTCATGTATATTGTATAATCTATTCCAAATGAAATGTTTTAAAATACTCTTAAATGTGCTATTCTTTTACATTTTATTCTTTCTGGGAGAAAACCATATAAACGTATTTTCAGGATTAAACTCATATAATGTACAAGTTCAGTTCAGGAGAGGGTATGCAAAAGATTCTCTAACACTTTATGTGTCTTCAGATGCTATTAACTGCTCTATAAATCAAAGGTCTGATTTTACATTTTTGAATGGCACTGGAAGAAATAATGCTCAGATCGAAGTGGGAGCCTGATTTCCCCTGTTCATTCTCTTTTTTGAATGGTTCTACACAGAGTGGGCAAGGATGGATTATAGGAATGCCTTCTGTTGAGGAGCCGGCCAAAACTGTACCATCTCATCTTGGAGTAATTTATCCAATAAGATGATTTAGAGGACAGTTCAGTGGCACCATTTTTGGAAGGCAAAAGCAGAAGGGAAGGAATATAAATCAAAGGTGACTGGCAGGTAAAGGATATATGCAGCAATCAGCCAAACCATGTGCACACTGGCACAAATTCAACAAGATCATTTATAAAAATTTTAAGTCAGGAGTACACAAAAGGGGGTCTGGTGCTAACTAAATCCACAGATAGATTACACGCCACTGAAATAAACACTTCCAGATGCTGGCATACAAAAACCTTTTAGAGAAAGAAATGTTTTCTTTCATAAATCTGAAAGGAGGAACCTTGGGGTTGGGGGTTGGGAGAGAAGGGAACAAGATTTCCAAACTGAGATTTGACTTCCTACTGGTTTTATAGAATAATAACTCATACTTTTCAAATGCACAGTGTTAACACTATAGAATAGCAAATAAATAGACAATAGCTTGAAGTATAGGTAAAGACATCATAAGTACATAACTGTTTAATGAAATGAAAAGGGTATTTTTGCTTTGAAAATGAGAAGAAACAATAAAAACATCAATTTGACTTTTTCTATATCAGAAACTGAACATCTAACTGAAGGACAAGTTTTCAAATGCCTTTTGACATAAATACATACATTTCATTTTGAGAACTGATTAAGAATGAAATCCTAACTTCTTCAAAATCAGTATAAATTGATTTTTAATATCACTAGAGGCAGTATGTAATATAGAAAACTTCAAATATCAGAGAATTTTTATTTGGTTTCTATGTACCCAATTTCTTCTGGAAACGGTATTCAAAATTTTGTATCATTCCAGTGTTTTAGAAAAATTTTGAAGTGAATGTATCCACATTGTGTATATTGAAGATTGTATTCCAAAACTTCTTTTCACTACTATTTTAATCTAAAATATGCAGAAATAAATTTCTTACAGTCAAGAAGGCTAAGCTGCAGACCAAATGTGAAGCTGCATTTTTCTCGAAATTCAAGGCATCTAAAAATCCCTTGTTTTCAAAAATGTTCTGTTCTGTTTATCTCCACCAATATGATACTGCCACATCCATCCTTGTATTTTCAGTTTCCCTCTCTTTTTTCTGCATCCCCCATCTGCTGTTTTATTCTCACATGTGCTCAACTTTTCCAGGTCTTCAGCTGCTCTTTCAGAAATTTTGCTTTCTAGAGGAAATCAGTACAGTCAATATCACCTTTATTAAATAACTTCACAATATAACTGATTACAAACTTCAGTATTTTTTGCAGCAGAAAGGGATTTAAGAATTTGCATAAAAGCTGAGCTCGATCAGGATCGATAATGAGCAGTTTTAAAACACTGGAAGCTAAAGGTCTTGACTAAGTACATAATTTAATGGTGAAACTTTACTATTTACTTGTACATGTAACATATTGAAGTCTACATGGAATACTTAAATTTATTATTTAAGAACTTATAAGAGTGTAGGTAGGCCTGTATAAGGCCCATATAATGCAACTCTCTGCCAAATCACGTTTTCTGGTATTACATGTTCTTCGTGCGGGGAATGTCACAAGGAGTATCATAAACATGGCTTTGTAAATATTGTTTTATGATGCTTAGGCAATTTTATGGGACCGAAATTTTTAACAAGAGAAGGTTTAGACTAGCAAGTCTTTTCATTCCGAAATTACTTAGAGCCTGAAGGAGCATTCTCCCCCTCAAAAATGAATACCCAAACAAAAGTTGGTTATACGCTCTATTCATTCAATACGCTCCATTTACACAACGCACGTGCCACTGAATAATGGCCACTGTCTTCCACAGGTCTGTGTAGCATTGCAATTTAGATTTATAAACTCAGTTTCTCTTTAACTAAACATCTAAAATATTTCATTTCAGTACTGACATATACTAGAGGGGACAAAGAATGTCTTTTGGAAACTTTTAAAAATTCTATTTGCCTGTGGTCTTCCACTGTTGTCGCTGACCACTTGGTTTTTAATTACAGGTTAGAGGATGCTAGCTGTATTTTTTACTGGAGTTCCTCTTCTCATGGTCACAAGTCCTACTTACAAATGGTTCATGTACTACTTACAACTGTTTATACCAAGGTTTCAGTTAATCACTATATATCCATCACAGAATAAATATTTTTAAAGAATTATTTATTGCTTGTTACTCCAACTGTTAGAAATAAAAGTAATTTATTTAGAACAATTATGCTTGTCTTCTTGGTAAGAAATATACAACAGATATTTTTGTGAACACCATGGCATACAGAGTATTATCTAGAATTATATTCAGATGAATATTAGGACTATACCTATAGGCCTAGTTAAGACTGCAGACCACCTTTACTGTGCACTTTACAGAGATGGGATTTAGATTAATTTAAATCTAACAATTTTATTTTTTTATTTATTTATATTTTTTTTTTCACTGTCTGTACAAAGATTGAGCTTGCTAGAATTTGTTTTGGTATTAATTTTTATCCCATTTAAATACTGCATCTTATTGAAATCAATGATGCTGCCATGATGAAAAGTAATTAAGAGTTGAGAACCAAAGTTTTGCAAAGAAAGAGGGACGTACCCAGGTCATGCTACAAGATATGGCAATTTGCTCTTTCTCAGAATGACTTTCCAGTAACTTCCCATTGAAATCCAACACTGTACATAGAAGAGAAGCAATCCTCTTACTCTCATCATTTTAAGTTGTACTTCAGTGTGTCTAATAGTCAGATCACTCATCCAAATGAATCATGAAATGACCTATTAGTGATTATAGTCTCCATGTAGACAGTTTTAATACCACTATCCTTGTGCTTGTGATCCTGGGATAGACTGAGGTGATGTTTAATGACTGGGCATTCAGGATTCTTCTAATCCTTAACTATCTCAAAGAGTAATAAGAAAAAGAAGTGTAGAAGAGTACAATTACAAATAGATGTTATATAAAACATTAGAGTATTCATATATATGAAATTTATATCCAAATACAAATTAATATCTCAATATAAAGAGTATGATAAATCTACGTAGACAAATTTATCATTTTCTTTGAGCAAGGCTTCAGCCTGCAATACACATAAAATCACAGAATCACAGAATCACAGAATGTTAAGTGTTGGAAGGGACCTTTGAAGATCTTTGAGTAGAACCCCCCTGCCAGAGCAGGACTAAACACTAGGGCAGATCACTCAGAAAGGCATCCAGACAGTTCTTAAAAGTCTCCAGAGAAGGAGACTCCACAAACTTTCTGCAGAGCCTGTTCCCGTGCTATGTAACCCCCCAATAAAGAAGTTCTTCTTCATATTGAGGTGGAACTTCTGTGCTCGAGTTTGAATCCGTTGCCCCTCATCCTAGCGAAGGATATCCCTCATCCCTCCCCATCCAAGTGAAAAGAGCTTGTCCCTGCCTTCTTGATTTATAGACATGAATTAGATCCCCCCTGCCTTCTCTTCTCTAGACTGAAAAGCCTCAGGTCTCTTAGCCTTTCCTTGCAAGGCAGGTGTCTCACTTCCTTAACTTAAAAACACAGAGAAATAAATTCAGATACAGCACATGGAACTGAATCATCCCACATGATAAAGAGTTACATATTCCCATTACTCTCTTAAAAATTATATGGCACTATTTTTAAAAGAAATTATTTTATTTATCTGCTTCTTGAAAGTCTGGACCATGCTTTAAAATACACAGTACTGAGTACCACCCAATAATGTTAGTAGACAATATACGGATAAAATGTATGTCTAGACTACATTAGATATGATACAATGCAGAAGAATTTAGAGTACACTTGCTGCTTTGCATTGTGGCTTGCACTTGGAGAAAAAAACCTAAATGGCATTATTTTACCAGGTATGGTAACTTCTGCAGATCTCAGTAACAGGAACTATTTGACATAGGCTACGTTTATTTTCCAGCTAGTGAAAAACCTTGATATAATGTTAGATAGAATTCCCTCCACGGTGTCTGAGGGAAAAAACTGTATCAGAAAGATAAAATCCTCAAACCCTGATCTCTTTGAAGCCACAAGAAGGGATATTTATATGGATCACTGTAGCAACAGACTTGCAGTTGTTTGCTGTATTCAGAAGGTTTCTATTTGAACCAAAACTGCCAGGGGATGAGTTTTCTAACTAGAAGAAAGAAATGTAACAGTATGTGTTACCCTAAACAAGGATGGGCGATGTGGAAAGCCAGCTACTAATTGCAGCCCAGTGTTACTCATGGAAAGTCTTCCACCTTTTTTTAAAAAGGCAGACTTGAGGAATGAAAAAAAGTTAGTCAAACAAGCAGATAAAACTATATTTGTCTCTTCTAATCCTTTGGAAAAACCCCTCAGAGTATTTTATTATTTCTTGTAGTTGCAGTGAAATTTCAAATTTGGTGATAATTAACCAAACTACTTTTGGTGAGGGACAGGGAAGGAAAACTCACTTCTTCGTAACCATTTATGTGAACTTTTTACTTCTTTATAATAAAATGAAATACTTTCTTTGCATTTGGAAGCTATTGCCATGTTCTTACCTACCACTCTTAGCACATGCTGCTGAAACACTTCTTGATTTTGGACTAGAAATGCTACCCTACGCTTTACATGATATTAATCTAGCATTTGTGGGTGGCAAAAGAAAGATAAAGTTATATAAAGATAGTTAATTGCAAATATGTATCAATTATAATTAACAAACCCATTATCTACTGCTGTTTATAAAAACATTGATCTGTTTTGACACTAGGAAAATTATTATTTCATAAATACATTGGCTCTTATTTTTTCCTATTCTTTGCTTCTGTGGTCAAGTCCCACTATTTCCTTGATATCTGTGAGCTTCATATACTTCTATGTAACTTTTATGTAGATTAATATCCTCCCAATTCAGAATAATTTTCCTTACCTAAAATCCTTCAAAAAATAGATAACTTCTGCCAGATTTTTAGGAGCTCAGATCTAGTTTGGTGGTTTGGGGATGCTGGTTTTTTTTCCCTATAATGATTTCTTGGATATTCATTCTTTCCTAAATGTAGATATTCTGAGGTAAGCAAGGACATATGCCACATAGAAGAGCAGATCAGAAGAAAATTACCCCAACTTACAACATTTGAGACAGACAACTTTCACATTTCTATCAGCTGAGAAAATTAAATAAGGAATGTGTTAGGCTGCTCTGAACAATGAGTTTGCAATTTGCATAGAAAAAATGATGGTGAAACCTCATAACCCATCAGTGTTTTACCACAAGCTCAGTTCTATTACATTTTAGTGGAGGTTCAAAGTTGTCTAAAGAAACCATTCTCTTCTTTCTCCAACCATAAATGTGTCACTTGAGAGTTCAACTTCCAATAGGAGCAGTATTTGACATGCAACTAATTTTAGAATATAAAGTACTCTTCACCATATTGGAATACATATAATTTAAAATAATGTAAACCTAAACTTGCAAAAACAGAAAATTCAAGCACTAACAAAAAAGCATAATTTGTAATTGAAAGAAAATAATATTTTAAAGGAAAAAAAAAAACTTTTTTGTCTTTCCAAAAAGGGACAGAAATTACTAAGTTTTATTTCCCAAGAGAATTATGCCACTTTTATAAAGAAAATTACAGTCACCACAAATTGCTCTCAACAATTCCAAAGCTTCTTCATTTGACCACTTGAAAATCAAAGTTCTTTAAGATTATAAATATAACTTTTTATAACTCTGTTATTACGTACTGTGAATGGGGAAAGGGGGCCAATCTTGTGGCCGTAGCGTCGAATGGCCTCTCTGATGTGGCTGGGCTGGATGGCATCACTTTGAGCCTCTGTACCACAGGCTGCAGTGCTCTGCAACAGAAAAACACATAAATTGTTACTAAATCAAAAACACAACGGACCTACAGTGCATAAAGTATGAAAATAAACCTTTATAAAATGGACTGTTTTTTTTTTTTTTCATTTTTTAATTATTTTTTTTCCTGAGGATACACATCATTGCTGCCACACACTACATTTGAGGAAAAAAAGCTATTAACAAATCAAAGAGGACTTTTACATGAACTTTGCTTAACAGACCCAAAGAACACCGTATTTGTCCTCTTAAATCTTTCACCTAGTGCTGCTGTGTGTTGCAATTGAAAAGAGCAGAATATGTTCAAACTAAAATGAACGGGTCATATAAGTCATACTGCAGTAACCACAGAAACTATTTTTAAAACATTTCAGACTGTCATTATGATGTCAAGGGGTGGGGAAAATATTGAACAAGTACCCAAAGTGGAAGGCAATTTGATACCAAATTCACTGCTGAGTAATAACAGATTAAAATTTGAAGATTAAATGTGTGACATAACGGTGTTAGAGGGATGCAAAAAATATTTTAATTACCTCAATTTGGAATTTTTTCAAATTACTTTTTTGGATTAAGGGCCCTAAATAGGAAAAATACAAATTCACTGCTACTGGTCCATTGGTTTGACAAAATTACCCCCAGGATTTTAAAAGAAAAAGTTTATCTTTTCTCCTTGCCAGTCAAACTGAAATGTTTGTCTAGGCTGCATCTAGACATGGCTGCTTGCCAGAATTCAGATGAGTTATCAGACTGATGGCTGCTTGGTAATAAATTCATGAAAACTATACTAATGACTGCACTAAGAATGACAAAAACTTGAATTATACGCCGAAATTTAATGTACACACATACACGGTCCCCTCATGCATTGACATTATATACTAATGCTTTCAGACTTGGGGTATTTTTTACAAAATGTTTTATTTTCAAGAGTGCTGAGTCCACTGGAGCCTGTGTGTTACAGAATTCTACACAGAATTATTCATAATGTGATGGCAGATTCTTTCCTTGCTGATTGACACTCATAAAGGGAATATGAAACTCAGCTATTTTGAGCTGGACTGGGCCTTCATGGACTAAGAATAACATTCTTCACCAAGTTAACTAATTTGTCTCAATGCCTCAGTTATATCCAGTATATTCCTAACCAAATTGAGTAAGTCATAGGAATATTTCATTAAAACTGTGCACTTTTAAAAATATAATTATTTCAAAAGGCATTAAGTCAAACATTAAGAATTTAAAACAAACTTACGACACTAGTGGAAAATAATGTATCAAAAATTACATCTCCAGCTAAATTTTTGTTCCTAGGAATTATAATGGAAATCAGCCACAGAAACAAAATATAATCAATTGCAATATAAAAGGGAAGAGAAAAAAGCAAAAGTCTTCAGAGAGATTTTTAAGATTCACTAAAGTCTTTCTAAACAGAGCCTAGTAACAGCAGAGAAAAAGTTGAATGCAGTGTCTGCAGCACTGATGACACTACAAGGAAAAATACATTTCTATTTTTCTATCTATCATTGTAAAAATGACTAGTGGAACTTAGTGAAAAGTTTGTTGTAGGAGCATAAAACACGTAAGAAAATCACCAGTCAGTTTGCTTTGCAGCAAAATGAGTACTTGATCACATTTAAAAAAAGAAAGAGCCCCAAGTGACCACCACAGTGCTTCCTATCCAGTTTATTTAATCAAATCTATTTCCTTAGTGGTTTGAAGGTACATATATCCCCCTCAGACAGAATACTGAGGATATACAACAGAAGACAGGAATTTTAATATTTACATTTCACACTCTGAATATGAGACTTCCATATTTTATGCAAAGTAAACAAATATTATAAATATAAATATAAACAGATGGAATGCAACCAACTGGCATAAAAATAAATCAGGTCAGGCAAAGTTGTTAGAGGCATAGAAGAGAGTTGCCAAAGGCTAGGAGCAGGAAAATCACAACCACCTCTTTGCCTACTTTGCTTATGCTTTGATGCTTAAAACCTAGACTAGCTTTTACTGTCAGAAAAGAGGATGATTGTTTGGGATGGTGTCTACTGCTGTGGCTGCAGAGAAACAGCTCACCTTAGAAGAAGGAACTGTTACCTCAACAAAATTCAGTTTGCAGGTATTACTGAGAAGTTCTAGCCTAGTTGTGATAGAAAAAACACGCCAATCCACACATTCCATTTGACCCTACAATAACATTGGTAGTTAACATGTGATATAGGTTAAAATTAATATTTAAAATGAAGCAGGTTATTTCCTTTATATTGTTTTATTATTTTTATTCTCAGGCTTGTGCCCCAAATACCTTTTTTCTTTTCCTTTGTTTGGATTTGGTGGAGTCCTGTCCAATTCCACCATTCCCCAGGGCTGCTGCTGGAGATTTCCCAAGAAGTTGCTGTCCTGCTGATGCTGGGGGTGTGGGTGTAGGAGGTGGAGTGTTTTCAGGGGAGTCAAGACTGGTCTTTACACTTGCAGATTGCCCTGAGAGATGTGGCTATAAAAGCAAGATATAAACCAGCCATTAGATAATCGAATCACAAAAAAATGTATTGTCTTTTTAGCTTTACTGGTAGAAGAGTTGTAATGCAGAATTAAATTTACTCATTCTAGAGGTTACTCTCCTATCTGTGTAACAGCAATGCAAGCAAAACAGCACTTAAAACACTTGCCATTGCTGACAACTTATATCTTCAAATCTTCAATGGAGAGAGTGTTTAATACAGAGAGAAAGTATTTTCACCCAAGAATAAAGGAATTCAATTTTTATATAAAGATGCTGTGAAGAATTTAAACATTTGGAGCTATAGTTTAATGTCTTTCCATCTAAATCCATAATTTCAATGCTCACAAGCTCTGCAACAAAAGCTTGTATCAATAACACTCATCTACTTTGAAAGCAACAAAATACATGCAAAACAGAAAATGCATTAATATGAGAAAAAGCAAGATTTACCTCAGTAGAGTTGTGATACTGTATGAAAGTGGCAGATATGGCATGGCTGAACGGGTCACCAGCTTTGGGAGCCATGTCCTGCTTCACCAAAAGGGCCAAGTCCACCAACTGGAGGGACAGAAACAGCCAATGAATGGGTAGGTTTACTGACATGGTACTTACTATGAAAGCCATCATAACAATTTGGAGTAGAGAAGGATAAGGGGAGAACTTAGGGCACCTTCCAGTCCCTGAAAGGGCTACAGGAAAGCTGAGGATGGACTTTTTACAAGGGCATGGAGTGAAAGGAAAGGGGTAATGGTGTTAAAACTGGAAGAAAGCAGATTTAAATGAGATATTAGGAAAAAAATTATTTACTGTGAGGGCAGTGAGACACTGGCCCAGGTTTTCCAGAGAAGCTGTGACTGCCCCATCCCTGGAAGTGTTCAAGGCCAGGTTGGATGGATCTTTGAGCAACCTGGTCTAGTGGAACCTGCTCATGGCTGGGGATGGGAACTACATGATCTTGAAGGTCCCTTCCAACCCAAACCATTCTATGAATCTCGGTTGAAAACAAAATTATTCAGAAATACTTTAGCCTAAGGAACTTTTATTTTCCACTTCTGTAAATATACGGAGTAATCTATCTGCCCAAGAGGGCTTGGCTTGGCACTAAAATAATGTTTTGTTTTCCAGGAAATCCTGCCTTTTAATCCAATTGTGCAAAGGGGTTGAATGAGCCTCAGCACACTGCCAGAGGTCACATAGCAAAGTATGTGGTTTCAGTCTGGACTTGAATAAAGTTCATGCTGGACTTCACTTTCCTCTTTAACGATTCTAAAACATTTCTATTTGTGTATCAGATGGATGAGCAGGTACAGTGTGCATCTGTCTTACAGTAAATTAAGAGACACAGAGACAGACAGGAATCCAAGTAGCTTGGTTAGCTGAAGTAGCGACTGCACGCTTCTGAAGTAGCTTATGCCACAGGCATCTAAAGTTGAAGTACATCCAAGAGTAATTAATTTGTTTTGTTAAACTATTGTTCAATCATTATACACCCTTACCTGTGCCACAGTCTCATATGCTAAATATGCCAAAATCTCCATTGCAACTGCATTTGGCTTTATTTCCATACTGCTGCAGTCCAGCCAATCACGAAACTTGGATGCTTTCTTAAGCTGAGGATGGACTTTTTACAAGGGCATGGAGTGAAAGGAAAGGGGTAATGGTGTTAAAACTGGAAGAAAGCAGATTTAAATGAGATATTAGGAAAAAAATTATTTACTGTGAGGGCAGTGAGACACTGGCCCAGGTTTTCCAGAGAAGCTGTGACTGCCCCATCCCTGGAAGTGTTCAAGGCCAGGTTGGATGGATCTTTGAGCAACCTGGTCTAGTGGAACCTGCTCATGGCTGGGGATGGGAACTACATGATCTTGAAGGTCCCTTCCAACCCAAACCATTCTATGAATCTCGGTTGAAAACAAAATTATTCAGAAATACTTTAGCCTAAGGAACTTTTATTTTCCACTTCTGTAAATATACGGAGTAATCTATCTGCCCAAGAGGGCTTGGCTTGGCACTAAAATAATGTTTTGTTTTCCAGGAAATCCTGCCTTTTAATCCAATTGTGCAAAGGGGTTGAATGAGCCTCAGCACACTGCCAGAGGTCACATAGCAAAGTATGTGGTTTCAGTCTGGACTTGAATAAAGTTCATGCTGGACTTCACTTTCCTCTTTAACGATTCTAAAACATTTCTATTTGTGTATCAGATGGATGAGCAGGTACAGTGTGCATCTGTCTTACAGTAAATTAAGAGACACAGAGACAGACAGGAATCCAAGTAGCTTGGTTAGCTGAAGTAGCGACTGCACGCTTCTGAAGTAGCTTATGCCACAGGCATCTAAAGTTGAAGTACATCCAAGAGTAATTAATTTGTTTTGTTAAACTATTGTTCAATCATTATACACCCTTACCTGTGCCACAGTCTCATATGCTAAATATGCCAAAATCTCCATTGCAACTGCATTTGGCTTTATTTCCATACTGCTGCAGTCCAGCCAATCACGAAACTTGGATGCTTTCTTTGCTGTCAGTCAAAATAATAAGGGGAAAAGGAAAAATTAATAGCAGGTAGGCCAAAATAATCCGGGGTTTTTTTCAGTCCTAGAAAATACTGCCAGTGTGAAACAAGGATTGTGAATGGGATCTGAATAGGCAAGGAAGGAATCATCAAAGACCCACAAGTAGTATGAAGTAAAGAGAAAAACACGCAGATAATGAATCATACAGCAGATTTCAGAACAAGGGTCTGCCTCAGAGGAGAGTAGATGCAACTAAGCTGATTTTGAGTACATTATTGTAAAATAAATAGTACAATTGCAACGCATCTTTGATGAATGAGAGAAAGCACTAGAAGAAATCATCACAAATCTGAGTCTGGATAAAATGGTATCATTGTATGAATAATAGTGAAGACAAAGAAGATAGAAGAACTAGGAAGTCTTTGTGTTAGCTCTACAGGAACAGGTGCTAACAAGCCAGCTACAATGATTTGTATGATTGCTTTTAAAATGTGCTTTTAATATAAAGAAATAAGGATAGATGTAGAACTGAAAATGATCAAGATTCATAGGAGAACTTTATTAATGGATGAGATCCCTTAGGAGGAAGTACAGAGGAAAACATTGGAAAAAGAAACATGGTATTTGCTGAGAGAATAAAAGAAGGAAAAAAAAGATGATCAGTGGTGGACAAGCTGACCACAGAAAGAAGTAGAAACAGAAAGGAGCTAATAATATAAATTCTTCATGAGGGCTGGTTGCGAAGACAGGAGAACCAAAATGAAATAAATACAAGGTGGGAGAATAATTTGAAATAGCTCTTTCAAAGATAGTCTTTAGGACTAAAAAGCTAATGAGAAGGCAGGTGTTAAACAAAAACACAGGTGTAAACAACGGCTGTTTCTTAGGAAGGAGAGAAAAAGCCACAAAGGATTGCTGAAGGAAAAAAAAAAAAAAAAAGAGCAAGAGAAAAGGTGTAAAGGTGACAGCAGGATTGCAGGATGTTCCCTAGAATTCAAATATCTAATTGCTCCTCTTATAGGCCTCTACTTTTGCCTGTCTTTAAAACTGCATGAACATATGTGGAGCTGCAACTATGAATATATATTGTTAGAACAGGCTTCTTGAAGTCCCTTCCAAGTTTATTGTCTTGTGACACAGTGTTCATGGCTTTAGATTTAAACTAAAAAGGGTTTACTAGTTTAAAGGTAGGAATATTTCTTTTTTTTTTTAACTGAAATGTAAGAAAATAAGTACAAAATAGCCTTTCCATTAGTTTTGAACAAATGTCCTGCATGGCCTTAAATAGGTTTGTATTATGCGATTCAATTTGTGCATAAGTCTCTCTTGCTACTATTTTCTAAGAACTGTAATTCTCTTATTCTTTAATGACATTACGTGTCAGTGAAAAAGAACTGTATAGACATGCTCATGTAAAAATACCATGAAAATAGCACTGAGATACTTTTATAGATCATGACTTCCTGGTCAGCAATATTCAATTTTATTTCATGAATTCAAGATTCCTGTGTGTTCTGTCTCCAAATCATAATTTTTGGGTTTAAAAAAGGACTTTATCACAAACCTCTCATTTGCTGAAGTCATCCTAATAATTTACCTAATGGCTCACAGCTGTGTGATGCCAAATTGTAACTAAGCTTACAAAACACACTGCATTAGGAAAAGAAATGCTTAAAACCATGTTTTTCTTACATTTGCTGACATTTGCTGATACAGAACAGTTTTTCAAATACGTCATTTATTTGCCATAAATGAGTCACATTTTCTTTGAATTTAAAAGAAAGAACAAGATAAGGTCTTTCATTTAAAGACACCATTGTGTTCAAGTCTGTATAGTAGGATCATGTGCTGTTTTGTCATGATTTTTACTGGCTCCTTCACCTCATTTTCTCTGACATTTGACCTAAAACCTTAGTCATCACTTAAGTGCTTCTGTAATGATGTTTTGCTACATGATCAAGCCCATTAATTTGCAGCTCACTATAGTTGTGGCCCACAAGTACTTCTAGTAAGTTGGTTTTCAGTGCTAGGAAAGCCCTAATTCTGTCATCATGTTATTAGTGTTGGAATGGCGTATACTGATGAATTTGGCTAATGCTGAATAAATTCCACAGCAGGAGCTTACAGCTTAAAATAGAAAAGACTCTTTAGTAAGTTCTTTGTGTCTCTGTGGATAGAAAAATAAAAGCCAAACTTGCTGCTCTTCTCTACTTCTAGATGCATTCCAAATAGCCTGCAACCATGAAAATTTACCAATAGGCTGACTATAACACCTCCGTGACAGACTTCAGGCACGTATGGGTGTTAATCCATTAGCTCTTTACCAGTTCTCTCTTCACATTTGCCCCCACCAGCAGAATAATTGAGCATATTGAAAGCTTGGTAAATATTCAAACAAAACACTCTGCCTGAAACTATGCTAAATTAACTGCTCCCAGGAGTTATGCAGACAAAGAATTTAAAGTTTTATTACTGCAGATGAGACAAAAGTTCTTTCAAAAAATGTGAGGTTCTCCTGTGTTCTCTATTACATGAAATAATAATTGAATATCTTAATACAGTGCAGCCATTATAATACTTACAAAAACTCAATTGCCGACTTTCACAGAATTCTGCATACTGGACTGAGTCCATCATTCGTGTTTGTCTTTCTGCTCTCTGACAAAAGAGTAGAAGTACATGATGTACCTTATTCCAAAAAGAACTGCATTCCACCACAGAAATTATAGCAGTAAAGTGCCCCTGCCATAACCTTGAAGTAACCCTCCCAAATTAAACATGCACTGAACCAGTTAAGATGCAGAAATAAAAACCACAGATTGGTTATTAGTCTCATGAGTGAAATTACCCAGAGAAGTGTGTCAATTCTTATTTTTAAAACCTGCTTGCACACCACTCACCTACGACAGCGACGAGGGCTGAGTTAGGAAAGGTGCTAAGCACTTTTGCCCTAACCAAGGTGCATGTTTAAATTGAAGAACATGAGGAGTTTACAGATGACCAGACAAGTAAAACATTCTCCTGGAGTGGGGCCAACAACAGAACCAAACCTTTGTGCTTTTAAAATGTGAGCGTTAGCAGTATTAATTTCAGAATACTAAGGATTTCCATCACACTAAGGATGTACCAGGATTGCCCCTTCTCACGTGGACAGTCAACATACTGTAAAACTTCAGTTGCAAATGCGCCTTTTTCATTTTTATTCATTGTTAATCTAGGTATCTATAACATATAATAATTGCAGTACAATTTTTTTACTCCTGAACACCTACAGAAAAAGAAAGGAAATTAAGCTGAACTAGATGCAATTCAAGAAAAAATGGCTCAGAAGATTCCCTGCTGGATTTAAGAATGTATTTCACACAGAGTCTAGTGTAAACCAAAATGGTGTGTCTCAAAAAAGTCAAGGTATGAAACCAGAAACATTATGGACACCCTCACTCCCAGGCATGCACTACGCCATGACGGAATCGTAGCTGAAGCAGCACCAAAGTTCATGGTTGGGTTCAGCACGTGCTTGAGTTTTTTTTAATTCAACAGAGCAGGGGTGATTTTGATGAGGTAAGGATCTGATCTCTAGAAGAGATGAAATCTTACACACGTCAGAGGCAGGAAGTTAGATTAGAGAGAACGATTATCCTCTTCAGAAGCAGAGAGCTTACTCAAGTTTCTCAAACAAGGACAGGAGATTGTCTTAAACACCAAGGGAAGGAATATAACTGTCTTCCAAACAATAACTCAATGAATAAATCATTACAGCTGGTAAGAACAGAACCATAACTGAGGATAAAAAGTGGTATCAGGATGGGCCTGGGACTTCTGCAGTGAGTCCATACTGCTCAAGAAACCAAGTACAAAGAAGGTAAAGTACAGGCACATTTGCAGTAAGGACAGAAAATGAGAAAAAAACACACATACACACAAATTTTGCTCTGACTCCTCAAGCAATTTTTCACCTGATGAAATTAAAATTGCAGACATTTTAAAACAGATTTAATGGAAAACAAAAGGGCTGTTGATAAGTATTTGGAGATAAGCTATATATACAGCATTTGGCCTTATCAGTTCCTCAAATTAGGAAAAAAAAAAAGTTAAAAAATCGGTACATCAAATACACGGGTTCTTAAGACCTCTATTTTCTGCCTTTGAGGTCACTCCTCTATGACAGTCCAATCCATCAATTTGGAAATCTTGTTGGCAGTCAACATGTTCCATTTAGTTGTAAACAAAACCACTGACTGTCCAAGAACATACCTGGCTATTCCCTCCTTCTTTTCTTCTCTACTCAGTCAACCATTTCTACCGTGTTCTGACTTTAAATCATGAGGATAGAAACTGTTCTACTAAAGCATTTTTCAGCTGTCCTGTACATGCTTCTGGCATCTTGACTATGATTTGTGGAGCTGCCATTTCAGAGAAGTAGAAATTTTCAGTTAATCTATTCCATCAAGACATTAAGTAAGTTTAGAATGATTTTGTATCCTTTAAAAATAATTTTCACAATACATGCTGTAACGTCAATCCTCATCTAGCATAACAATAACAGAGATCTGTTTTGCCTCTGACTTAATTCAGTTGTACTTTTGAAGACAGAAGGCACCAGCAGGATCACATAATTTGAACTTCTGCATAGTGCAGAACACTACTCACATGATACATCCTAGAAATGGCAGTCCTAGAATTTCTTGTGCAATTTTACTGTATGTTTTAAGAAGGCATTTGCTTTGGGTTTATATTTTTCACATATTAAAAGATAGCTTCTTCAAATAACCTAAAATTATAATATTTTATGCAATATGTTTTAAATTCTGCTATAATTTGTATTGTTGCTTGCCAGTCAGGAGTTGCTGGTTTGGGCACAGCCAGGTAAGTCTGAAATATTTTCACTTAGGTGGGTAATCAAAAAGACTGAGCTTCTCTAAATGTGGCAAACTTTTAAAAAATTTTACATATGGAAATGTTCTGGCTAACAGAACTGTTGCTTGAGATCCCCCTCCAACAACTCTCCTTCTGGAGATCTCTAGCTCAACCTCCAGCTTAAAAGAGGACTTCTGCCAACACTAGATGAAGGCAGCTATGGCCTTCTCAAGCTAAGTGTTCTAAACCTCCAAGGACAGAGATTTTATGTCTCCTCTGGGTAACCTGTTCCAGTGTTGCACTAGTGAAAAAGAGTTCTTATGTCCTACTTGAACTTGCCAAGAAACAATCTGTGGTTCTTGACCTTCTTGACCAGCACTACTAAGAAAAGTTTGGCTCTGTCATTTTGTCCTTCAGCAGTTGTAGGCTGCTATCCAGCCACCTTTTACCCTCCTCTTCTTCAGATTACGTTAAAGGAAGTAATCTCAGCCTCTTCTGACAGGCCATGTGCTCCTGGGCCCTCAGCTCTCAGTAGTTTTCAGCTAAACCTTTCCAGTTTCTCAGCATTTCTGTGGAACTGAAGGACCCAAAACTGGATGGTGTGTTCCAGATTTGGCTTAACAGCACCAAGCAGAAGGGCATGACAACTTCCTTCAGTTTGTCAGCCATATTTCTGCAAAACTACGAGTTTTGCTTCAGTATGATGAGACCAAACTGGTTATTCCTGTTCAACTTGATGTTCATTATCACCTTCCAAGTTTTCTTCAGAAGGGCTGCTACCTGGACAGCCAGTCTGCAGCCTCTACAGATGCATGAGGTTACTGAATTCAATCAGTGTGCCAGCCACTCCTAACATACTACCATCAACAGATTAGCAGAATGTGCATTTCATATCTTTGCCCACACTGTTGATTAAGATTTTGAACAATATGGGTCCCAATATCAACCTTCGAGACATTCAGTTTTCACCTCTTGCCAGCTATACGCCAAACTGTTGGCTATTACCCTTCACAACAAGCAGTCCTAGGGATTTAAAACCCTTTGCAACAACAAGGAAGGCAAAGGAAAGCAAAATTATGTGAAATGCTAACCTGGAGTTATGCTTCAAAGTCCTATCTGACATGACAAAGACTAAAGATATCTACAAATTTGACAAGGATACTTCAATTTTTGCAGGCATCCCACAACATAATATGGAAACTACAAAAAACAGATTGATCCCAAGAGCACTTACGTTAAATTAAATAATTTAGTAATGCCAATAAATAGACTATGAAACTCTGAAAATGTATGCTGTCAAAGACCAGACAATATGCATCACAGTATGATCACTATCAAAATATTACAAGTTTCCTTATAGGAAGTGAAACAAAATATATTAATCAAATAATATACTAATAAAATGTTTATTAAAAGAATGGTGCTGCTGAAGGATTTTTCCAATATGGGCTTCATACCTCTCTAGAACTTGCCTACAGTAGTTGTCTAAACACTGGACTTGATTTTATTCTTGTATACTAAATGAATACTGACACTTACTTTTTCTCTGTATGCATATGTTTTATACAGCAAAATTACATAAATATATGTAAAATAATATTGCTGTCTCCCTCTCCAGAAGAAGTTTTTCTTAAAGGTGGATTCTCAAGTGAGGCTCTAAAATACCACCACATAAAATAGCTTTTATCATAAATAACTGGACTGTATGTTCTTCCCAGTACACTTAAAAAAACCCCAACAAAACAACAACCAAACCCCAAAACAGCACATCCTGGCATGGAAACTCACAGTTCATGGGATAAGAAAAGCCAATCCATCAGTCTTACCAGTTTTAGAATAGTCTATAAATAACCAGCAAATGCAGGAGAAATAAACAGATGGATAGCACAGGTATATAATCTCTAAGGAAACACCAAAGCAGAAGACAACAGCAGTTCATCTTTCCTCTTCACCTCTCAAGATTATACGCTTTAGAAAAAAATAATGTTCCCTTATCTCTACATTTGTATGCTGTATCTTATAAACTCAAAATGAACTAATAACACAGAATAAAAAGGGAGAAACAGTGAGGACATTTTTGTGAGCACAGTGTAACTCCAGGCCAAAAAGAGTTTAAAAGAAAGAGCATTCAGTGTTGAGGAAGTCACAGAGAGTTTGTGGAAACGCTACAACCTGTAAGTAAAGTTTTCAGTCTACACAATACCCATTTTCTCATTTTCACAGTATTAATTTTTTCAACTATTTTTCTTGAAAACATGAAATTATACAGGATGCTTTAACTGAGAAACAACTTCATTTTTATACTAGTGAAATCTTCCAAATTCTGTTCTTGGAAGGAGTAGCGAGTCACTCTGACAGGAATGAAGTTCTCTTTCATCAGTAGAAAAGCAAGTTCGCTGGGAATATCTCCTATGCAAAGAAACCTTGACACCCCTAATGATATGCCACCTTGGATCAATCTCAGTTTAAAAACAGATATAATAAATGACATGAATGTAACTGACCCACTGGTTTATCAAAAGCATTAATAATATATAGTTTTTACTCCCACTGTAGTAGTACTAGTCACTCTAAGCAGTTAAGAAGCTGAGTTATGTGGCGTTCAGCAGAGTTAAAATACTTTGCATGCTTTCCTTGGAACATGCTGAAGGATGCAGTAGATAGGACCTGGCACAGTAAATGTATTCTTAGTCTTCCAAAAATGTGTTGCATTATATCTTTCTTTCAGCATGAAGCACTAAAAAGGAAGACTAAAGCAGGAAAGAAAAGGCAGAGTTACACGTTGTCACCTTCCACCCAGG